TTTTGCCTAAAAATGGCCCAAAATGACCTATTTTGGATCTCTTATGAATAATGCATAATTTTGAAAAAGGTTTGAAAATGGACGAAAATCGATCAAAACCATGGGCTATAGCCCGTGCGTTTTGCCTAAAAATGGCCCAAAATGACCTATTTTAGATCTCTTATGAATAATGCATAATTTTCAAATGGGTGTGAAAATGGACCAAAGTCGATCAAAACCATGGGCTATAGCCCATGCGTTTGGTCTAAAAATGGCCAAAAATGACCTATTTTGGATCTCGTATGAATAATGCATAATTTTCAAATGGGTGTGAAAATGGACCAAAATCGATCAAAACCATGGGCTATAGCCCATGCTTTTTGCTTAAGAATGGCCAAAAATGACCTATTTTGTATCTCTTATGAATAATGCATAATTTTGAAAAAGGAGTKAAAATGGTCCAAAATCGATCAAAACCATGGGCAAAAGTCATGTTGCTCCAATTTTGTGTGTAATAATGCTTGCAGGCATTGTTGTCAAAGAAGAGGTTCCGGCAATTTCTTTTTGTAGATAGATGAAGTAGTTTTAAAGATTTATACAACTTCASTCGGCAATTATTTAACGGTCCGTTTCTTACGAGCGATTTTGTGGTGACAAATATTATGCCTGTAGGGTCCCCTTTTTTAGTACCAAGCACCGCTATTCTCTTGATATTTTCTGATATTTCATGTTATTTTTACCCCATATTCTTATTAAATATTTTTCCTGCCATTATTCTCACCATTATTATCGTTTTCTTTTTTTTTTTATTCCGTTTATCTCCTTAAACATACACTTACAAACCTCCGTACTTCACACTCATTCGTGCGTATTCCGGCAGAACAATTTTATTTACACACTAAAATGTCTTCACTCTCCCTTCCCCCTGACGGTCAGCCAATGGATCGGTTGCAGTACGTCGGAATGCAGCTCAATTTAGAGGACAGTAGTTACTATAGGTTTCCAATTCTCAGTTATTAGTACTCCAAACTGAGCTCGTTTGATGTCAGGTGCAATGGGTATATTGGAGTGTTAGTGCACTGACCACCACCGCGTTTACACAGATCTCCCTTTGCGCTCAGTTCACTTCTACGATGCAAAATTCATTACTGCGCGCAATGCATTGATGCCATACAGGAAGTGTGTTCCCAATTTGATTTGATTGAATTGATCGTCACTTAAATTACCAACCACAAGATTAGTTTTTATAAACAGTACATCTACTTATAAAGATAAAGAAAATAAAAGAAGAGGAGGTGAGCACTGCATGAAGTTTCAGAATAGCCCTTTTCACAGTTCCCTGCGCCATCTTGAAAGAAAGCCGTGCCACTGCATCGAAGCGAGACGAACGGTGAGACATGTGAATAATTGTCCAAGATGTTTAAAAAGGTCAGATGTACTGTTTATAAAAACTAATCTTGTGGTTGGTAATTTAAGTGACGATCAATTCAATCAAATCAAATTGGGAACACACTTCCTGTATGTCTTAATCATTGCAAGCTCTCATGGTTACCTTTCAGAATGGCGCAGGGAACTGTGAAGGAGACTATAGAGGCTTTGCACCATCACGTGATCGCAGCAATGACAGGTGGCACAACAATAGTCTTTTTCTGCTGGGAAATTTAATTCTTTCCAATGTGAATCAGATTAAAACAGAATCAATTGTTCCTGCCTCCTTTCATGGCTGCCACCACGTGATAGTGCAAAGGGGAATCTGAAAACGGGAGTTATTTGTTTGTTTTTTTTTTGGTCGTGAACCAAGGTCGCGACGTAAACATTGCTGAACTGATATCCCATCTTAGTTAAAAACAACGTTGACGTTCCCGTTCAAGACGTTTAGTTGTCCGAGGTTCAAAACACGTCTACCGGTATCTTCCCTGATGTCCTTGAACAGTTAATTCCCTTACATTCGAGCCATGTCCGGGGTTTTAATATTGTCCTGTTCCTTTCCCTCCGTATTCCCCGGTGGGTCATACAGTGCAATCACATATGTTTTATTACTACTTTTAGACTTAGCCAATCCTATGCCCACTTTCTTGGTGTCTTTCCAAACCACTTGAGTGAAGTGTTTGGTAGACTCGGTTAAAGAGGGATGTGCAAAGCTGTAGCTCCTCACCTCTTCGTACCACTGTTTGACCGCTGTTTCGGTAGCAGTTGTATAGTCATTTTCGATTACTGCTGTGTTTTCTCCTGGAAGTTCATTCAATTCGACCGACTCCAAAGTCGAGTCGTTATTCAGGGCCAAGTCTTGGGCCACTTTCTGGGCTTTATTTGCTAAAGATTGCGACCACTTTAAGGCGGGGACGCGGTGCCATTTACGGAATTTATTGTGCATTTTAAGGCCTTCTTTGGCCAAGTGTTCTAAAACGACAAAGAATGATGTCAATTGGCCTGCTCGCGGTTGCGCAGAAAACAGGTAACGAGTAGGACGCGCACTGAATCATGGGACTGTTTCAGCGGACGCCATTAAAGAATATTCCTTCCCAGTTTTCCGCGCAATCTCGGAAAGTCCAATAGGCCCGTTCCAGACAGACGCCTAGCTCTTCACTTATTTAACAAACCTAATCGATATATGTATTTTAATAAGCCTGAAGCGAGATGACGTTTTACCCCCGTCTCTAGACCATCATCCTTTTCACATTGCTTTTGTTCTTTAATTATGACTATTGTTCCTGTATTCTCTAAGGAATCAAAAATTTTAATATAAAAGAATTTGAAAAACTATTATGGTATTGAGTCGGGGGATAAAACGTCATCTCGCTTCAGGCTTATTCGCCAAATGATTGTTTACTATTGTTATTACTTACCTGGACAAGGTCCAGCTTCGCATGGACGACTTTCAGTGGTGAAGCCGCTGCAGTCATATCCAGAGCATGGCCGAGCACGTGCCTGAATACCACGCCCACACGTGACTGTACATGGAGACCATTCGTTTCCACTCCCTTCAATGATTAAATTTGAAAATATAAATTAATTTAGCAAATCGATCGAGGTCCCTTTACTATGGTCTGTTTAGCAAATCGAGGTCCCTTTTCTATGGTCAGTACTCTTATCGAACATGGAAGGCGCAAGCAAATGATTCAAACTCAAGTGGAACCACGAGCGCAGCGATTCGTGGTAAAAAAGGTATTGATTCGTGGTAAAAAAGGTATTGATTCGTGGTATTGATGTCATTATTAAGGTAGGAAGACTTACTGAAAATATCTCCTCACAATTAATTATTTTCAGCGGTTTCTGGCATTTTTGTAGTTTTTTTTCAAAAGACGCTAGAAGATCCAGGAATAGGATTCGGGGGTTCTGCAAATAACCCCCTTGCACTCTTTTCTGAAATCAGTATACCTAAAGTCTCTTTAAAATACAGACCCTTTTTGTTATCTTTCCCGGTTCCCTTGTTTCTTGTCACACCAGAATCCTCTATCAGCTTCGAAGCCTTGAGTACGTTTTTCAAAGAAAAATCACCGTGACCTTGTCTCCCAACAGTTTGTCGTAAACCGTAGTTCGTAGGAATCATGCCATCAAATGCAGTCGCTCCAAGTTGCGTTGCAGGAAGTTGTTCCATATGAGCAAGAAGTGTCATTAACTGCTCCATGTTGGGAGAATTCAAAGGTTTTCCCGCCACGTTGGGGAAGATACTTTCTGCAATGTCCTGCGGTATGTCTGATAAGCTGCCCGAATCTTGAGGCACAGGAAGCCCAGTTGACCCTTTCTTCAAGCTTTGTCGACTTTCAAGAGCGTTGACTTTTTGCTTCCAATTATTCAAACTTTGTAATAATTCATCAGAAGTTTTTGATTCTCCAGTGACAGTTTCTTTTTCTTCTTCTGGAGGCAGTACATTCCTCGTTGGATGCATGGCCTTAATATAGAAAAATACGAACAATTATCAAAATATCAGTATGGATACCCTGCCAACAAACTGGGCTGATCTAACCCGGGGTCGACTAACTCACAGATCAAATTGGAATTTAGCGTGTGGGGTTATGCGGAAGGAGGAAAACCGGAGAATCTAGTAGAAAACCCTCGAAGCAAGGGAGAGATCTAACAAAATCTACTGTCAATCAAACCCGAGACTACGGCTATTTCGCCTTTGATCTAAATAAATAAATGAATGAATAAATGAATGAACGAACGATGAATAAATGAATGAATGAATGGATGAATAAATTAATCAATAAATTAATTAAATAATGTTAACTTCTATAACGGAACTTAGACTTTTATTTACCTGCACATCTTTTAATGGATTTTTCTTTCCTGATATGACAAAACTACCACTTTGTAGCGCATCTTGAAGCCGAGTATTTCCCACCAAAAGGGCGCTTGCATCTCCAATCAAATCTCCCGGATGTGTATTCGCGGCAGCACTCTTGGATGTTTGTTGGTTCGAGTCGCTGCTTTTTGCCATGGTCGTTTTTTCGTTCATTTGAATTATTTTTTCGGAATATTTCTTAGGTATTTTCAAAACTATTGATCCATCTGTACTGGCATCTGCATTAAAGCTGACAGGCCTTCCCTGGCCTGATATTTTCAACATGACAACATCATCATTCGAATTAGCGGTGTTGTCGGTCGATACGGTCCGACCCACATTTGCTAAGATTTTACTCATTGTTGACATTGTCTTAGTAGGTGTTGTTGTTGTTGTTGTCGCTGATGTTGTTATTTTTGTCGTGGGTTGGATACCTTTGCTGCCATCACCATTGTTTACTTTGCCACTAACGTCAACCTCGCTGCCTACTGGTAAAGTAGCGGTTACAGGTTCATCAACATTCGCGTTCAATTCCTTTTCTATTGGGGTTTGAACCTCTTGGGTGATCAATTTTGTATTCCCCAAAGCTTTTGTGCCCAAGGCAGCTATAGCTTTAGCAACGTTCGACGAACCAGGYGCCACGGCTCCTGCAGACTGTTTTAAAGACACTTCTTTTTGTAAAGATTCGCTATTTCTGTTCTGAAGAAGAGCATTCTCGTTATTGATCTGCTCATGTGATTTTACAAAACTCGTGTCCTTAGGGCTTAAGAGGGAGTTCAAATCTCCATCTCCGCCAGTAAATGGACTAACGATTTCCTTGGAGTTCATAGATGCTGCACCGAGTAAGTCTGGAACACCTTTCCCATTCAATTTCTCGTAATCATTTTTCTGCTTCTGTTTTTCTAGAATATTCATCAAAACACGCCTTCCAATTTCATTGATGAGATTATCTCCTTTCTTGCCTACTAAAGTAGCAATAGTGTTCTGTGGCTTATTATCCGCATCGCCTTCAATATCATCTGATTTGCTTTCAGCTTCGTAATCCTGATCAAAACTTTTGCTATATTCTTCATCATTATTATGGTATCCCTCACCGAAGTCGCTTCCTACTGTTGTTGGCAGGTTGTATTTCCTCTCTTTGTAGTCATATTCTGGAAGAGGATTGGAGAGGTATGATTGGGTTTCCTCCCCAATATCGGACTCTGTGTTGGAATAGGTGGCGCTGCTGCCGGAAAGCTTAAATGGAAGGATTGAAGGTTTCATGGCATTCGTTGGTTCAGGGTTAAATCCAAAGCTTCGTTGAGAACCTAGAAAGAAAATTATTGAGCTATTTTTCTATTGTAAATATGACAAATATGAACCCTGTAATAAGAAAATTCATTCCAAAACCAGAAGTAAAATATAATTTTTTTTAGGCTTAGATATTTCATTTTAAAAGAGCCTAGAATATGTGCATGCATCAAATGGTAACATGACCAATGTCCGCTACACATTCTTGGATGGATGTGATGCGTTTTTGTCTGGAAATTTAGAGATGCACATTATCTATAGACCCCCTTGTACTAATTCCCTATCCGGGAGTCAAAACAATAATTTTTTTTCTCTTGAGATTTGAAAACATTTCTCGTGTAATTTTTTTTCATTGTTTTGTCCCCAGATCGACGTCACACGCAAGGGTCTATTTGGACGGAATAGACAAAAAAAAAAAAGATACTTAGGGAATGACACATGGTCTTTGCACACGAAAAATATCGATGCAAGGTCGACTATTGCAAGGATATCCCAAAGCTATACCCTGAAGAAGCTGTTCAAATACTTCTTAGAATATCATCACCAGTTTAAAGTATTCCTAACATTTGAAGAAGCCACATATATTTTAAACTAATCGCCCTATAGCTCAAAGCTCGACAGCTTCAGTTTATGCTACGTGGTTACATAAACGACTTCTATACCTTGTAAGTTCTGCGCACGACCCCTGGTGAGTTGCAGACGTTGGCTGTGACGAGGATTCATTGCAGGGTTATATGCTTCTAGTTGAACCATCTTCCTCATCACTGAAGGAGTGAGCTCTCCTTGACTCCTTTCCATATCTGCAAAAACAGGAATTCGATAAAAGGGTTTACAACCGAATGCGTATGTAGAAAAACCGAGTAATTGATTTACAGATCGCATGTAATAAATCTTTTTAGCTTTATGTGTAATGTTGTTTTTTTTTCCATTTCAGATCACTCATTCACTTGAGAATAAGAATTTCTGTCTTTGTGGTACTCATATTCATGTGCCATCTCATTGTTAACCGTTAAACAAAGACATGCTACTCTATGGAATGACATATGGTGTGAAATGGGAAAACATAATGGCGTGGTAAAACAGATATATTTTTAATTTTATTAGTTTACAGGAATTTTAAGSTATTTTACAAAAATAGAAAATCCTGTCAAATCCTGAGACAGGAAGATGCAATTYTTTAACATGGAAGCTGAGATATCATAGCTCATAGGAAAGATGTCTATTCMGTTTTTGCCATAAAACATGCATGTATGGCTTTTGACGGGAAACCACCGTCAATACTCTAATCACGGTCGAAATATGATGGCAGCATGTTTATAAATTATATTTTTTATGTCTCGTTGTCTTAGTTAGCTATGTACAGGAATGGAATTAAAATTTARGGTGTATAACGTTACGTCATGCATGCAGCATTATTAATATATAGTGACGGAAACTGTAGGGCCTTTTCGGAAATTGTTAGTGCTTATTTAGTGTTTTCTTCCAATATGCTTCGCATTATGRGCTCAATCTGCATACTTACCTAAGTACTTACTGGTCAGAGGTCAGATTTTAAAGATATTGGTATGATGCAAATTAGTATGGCTATAAAACTCTCGTCTAATTTTAAGCTTTACATTAAGACATGCACTACTGGCTACAACAAGGTACGTCACCTTTGAGGAAGTCGTTAATGACACCCTTTTCTCCTGGTGGGAGTTTGGATACTTTACTCGAAAACGCGGCCATTCGTTGACTTTCTACAGCATGCAATCCCAAAATATGACATGCACACAATGCAAACATGCAATGTAAGGGAGAGAATATGAGAAAGWGAAAGCTAACGAAAGTGTAAGGTTTTTTCCCTTCACAGTTCCCTGCGCCATCTTGAAAGGTGGCCGTGCCTTTGCATCGAAGCGAGACGAACGGTGAAATGATTTTAACACCTCAGACATTTATTCACGTCTCTATCATTGCAAGTTCATCGTTCGTCTCGCTTCGATGCAAAGGCACGGGGGTATTTGTACTAAGCGAAGACCATCGGATGTTCGCTTAATGAARCAAGTTCGCTGAATAGAAGTTCGTTTTACAACAAAGATGGAAACAAAATTTCGGGACCGCGCAACTAGCTGTTTATCTAATGAAGGTTCTCTGCAAGGTAGATGACATTAATCTAGATCTCACCTTCCATTGATGGCAAGTCAACTATTTTCATGTACCCTTTGTTAGCACCCTGGACATCTTGTTTTCAGAGCAAAGGATAATAATAAGCATAATTAATGAAAATAAAATCGTTTTGTTTGAAAATCATCCACCATACGTGGTACAAGAAACATACTATATGCTATATGCTGGCTTTCAATCACTGAAAGAGAAGAGAAGAGAATGAAATAACGAAAAACACGGCGGCCATGTTGGATGGTGTAACAAAAGAGACTTATGGCGAATCTTTTGTTAAATACATCCAACATAGAGRCTGTGAAAACCATCCATAGGACAAGTACAGGTAGAACAACGTTGTCGGTGTTYTCATGATCAGACGCTTAATTACCTTGTAGTGAAGCGGGATTTTCTGTCAACTCCTCTGGTTTGATGCCAACTAATGCAGACCKTGGGATGTTTTTTCTCACGGTTTTGTCGTAATCACCTTTCTTCTTAACTTTATGCGGCTTGTGAGAAGCGTTCCCTGTTATAGTGATAGATATGGAACATATCATTGGACGCATTGTTGGCCTGTTATATTAGCCTCGCTTTCATTTCAAAATGTATTACTTATTTATTACTATCAAAAATAATAGCCTCAAATCTTCCCCTCAAATCGAAYGTAATAACAGCTATTGAAGAGTGCGATTCCTTGCTTCGTCCGCATAGGAGTGTATGAGAACGAATTAAGGTACTGAAGGCGACATCAATTTTACAAATAAATTTYCAAAGACTTTCCGATATTTGCTTGATTTCCTTCAAGTCTCTAAAGAGGGTGTGTATGGGGTACCCGCTTGTSAGTCAACTACCAATTGAMTGTTAATMATTTTACAAGCGCTGASCATAATATTGACCAAAATAAARAAAATATCAGTAACKGTTWCTACTAATTCCARGTTATTTGTCAGTTAACTACTGTGGTACTCTCTCTAAAGATAAGGATGATCCTTTACATGTATACAAGTAACTTACACAGACAAACTGTACATAGACCAAATTCAAAACTCGCACCGATGTGAGGCTTACGTTGTGAACAAAGGGATCTGGYGTGACTCAAAGTAATCTGGYGTGATTCAAAAGTCACGAATCACGCCAGATTCCTTTGTTCACAACTTACACATCGGTGCGAGTTTTGAATTTGGTCTATGCTACTTAGCGACTACGTTTCTTATTGACTAATGGAAGTCAACAAAGATGGCATAATGATAGTCTTACCATGAGTCCAGAGGCACAGAATTGTAAAAATCAAAACAAGACGTCTGTTTTTCAGTCTCATGTTGTGTATCGTTATTCTTCTTCATCTAACGGACTTCGCTGTTTGTTCGCGGGAAAATGGTGGGGATTCCTGTGAAAAGGCACATCTTAATGGAATACCAAAAAAAACATTCAAATGAAAATGTGAACTGCTCAATAAAACATTTTTTAACACATCATCTAGTAGAATGCAATAATATTTATATACGATAAATAAATTCAAAGATATGGCGGCGGCCATTTTGGATAAAGCGAACGAGAACTTTTGTTTGGCAAACTAACATGTCCGCTACGGTAAGTATTTTGATTGCAATTGCCAAGTCAAAATAAATAAATCAAATAAAAATAAATAAACACTTTTTCTTATAGTTAAGGCTGACAGCTGTTTTAAGTTACATTTTCAAAGTTAAAAAAGTATAAAAACAGTTGTTTGAGATCCTGTGGGAAATCTTTCCGGAATCTTTCAGGTCCTTTCTGCTTATAAATTTCTTGCAAACATATTTTCAAACATGTTTACGAGTCACATCTGTCAATCCTTCATGATAAAACTAGCCTTTGAATCAGATCATCGTAGAAAAATTTGACTTCTCATTCACCAATCCATCTCGAAGCAGTGTTTTGATTAATCTCAGTAAACACCGCGTCAGACAGCAATGACTCTCTATAAGTACTCCAAGAATTGGCAGTCTTCTACACCATCCATATGTTTATTCTTAACGTTATTTTCTACRACTTTAAGAAAACTTCAAACCCGGCAATTCGAAAAACAAAACTTAATTGCCATTCGTTTTTTCCCAAAAATCAAGAGTCAACTAATGAGAGATCTATCCTTGTGTAAAGTTAGACATTCTCTCCTTTAAGCTTGGTTCATATACATTGCTTTTGCTTATAACAGAACTAGTTATAGATGTCTTTTACAAACGATACCATTATATGCTTCATGCTTACCATGTCAAGAAGTGGTCCACGATTAAAATAGCACAATTTGTGGTTGTTTTTCTAGAGTTCTTCTACTCCATATTATTGTCGTTTTAAGATGGAGTTTTTTTCGCTGTTCATCAGATGAATGATTAATTAGGTTCTTGGTTTCCGATTCATCGCGATGACCTAATCCCCTTCTTTTTCTCTGTGTTGAACGCTTACGGTTCACAAGGCTTGGTAATCATCTATGCTCCACTACCCAGGGTGTCGTTGCCATGGAATTCGTGTTGCTACAAGTCTTCTTCAATCCTCTTCAACATGAATCAAATACGAAAAGTGTTCGTTTTGGAAAGTGACAAAGGGCAAGCCTGAAGGACTGCCATCAAGTTAGAAAGATAGATAGGGCGACTCCATCAACCAATTAAAAAAAATACTGCTCACAATCGAGGCTCTACGAATACCGGATACTGGCGTACCTACACAATGGATTCAATTCATTCCTCTTTCCTCGGTGAGGCAATTGAAAATTATACTTCAAGCTTCAAGTACAGTGTCCTCCAAGATTTAGCAAGTTTGGTTCTGACGGATTATTAGAATAATGCGGGAGGCGTWMCGKTTAGAGCGCAGAGGAGAACGAGGTGCTTCAAGACAAGGATATCCCATGATTCCAAATCTTACTCATCCTAAATAAAATACAATTGCGAAGGAAAATTCAGGATRAAACACGATTCTCCCTCATGTTGGAAATGATGCAGGCACCCAACCTGCTGCAACAGTGGATAGGGAACATTAATGAAGATGATAACGGCAAAGTGTGAATATTGTCAAGACTGTTATTAATAGCCCACTTCCTTGTCACGCACAAAGGTTTCATTGTGAGGCTACTTGCTTAATGCTCTGTGATTTGCGACAGGAAAAAATAATAATTAATTTAATATAGCACGTAGCCTCGTACGGAAACCGTCGTGCTTGACAAGCGAAACATATCTTGGAAGTGTAGTTTACCTGCAATTATATATTTCTTGTTTTTCATACGCCTCTTCACACGCCTCTTTTCAAACGCTTTTTTTGCTTGAGAACAAATTACCATCGGGAAATTCGATATGCACGAAAGCATGGCTATGGCTATGTGCTGACACTGCTGGATAGTGCGTATAGATGCTTTGCCTTACTTTGATATTGATTTGCGATGTCCAGCATTGTCAGCGCTTAGCCTTGCTTTCGTGCATTAACGATTATATTAGCAGCCTTTTTTACAATTGAAACCCTGTTAGTTAGTTAGTTAGTTGGTATGTAAGAATAAAAAGATTAATGATATGCACAGTTGGCAAAGGGTATTTCGAGTGTTAGCAAAGTATTGTGAATACTCCCCCGGGAAAAGCGTAAAATGACTATTCCAAGGACCACGAAACATTTTTTAAACATAGATAAATTTCCTTTATCGCAGTTTGGATACCCATTTGACTTCTTAAAATACTGCAGTGTTTTCGACTCTTGATTCAATATTCAACATATTCAATTTCCAGTTGTAGCAAATAAGGCTATTCCAGTCCCATCCAGGAGAGATCAGAAGAAGATCCAAGAAAATGTCACAAGACTAAGTATGAATAAACCTAACTCTTTTTAAGGGCTTTTATTCCATTATCAAGACCTCTAACTATCGATTAACACTTAGATATAAATATAGATATAAATATATATTTACACTSATATTCACATATAATAAATCAAATGTTATTAAAAATAAAATGTCTTTTCTCACGTTTTTCCGAAGGCTCAGTTGCCATAACAACTTGCCTACAAGTTCTTTGGTATTTGTTCAATGCCACCTTTGAGATAAATTATTGCAATCATAAAAACGATCAATTCTGTACGGAAACACTCTTTACCTGTGTGACAGGGGCCAACCCCATTCCCGATATTACTCAGTTCTTATTATGAWAGGATTGCGTTGGTAAAGATGCCGATTAGTTTCAAATTCAAATCGTATTTTCATTATTTTCTATTTTACTCCTGGCATCCATTTTTCCTATAGAAGTCTGTGTCTTTTGAATATAGAAGCATAAACATCTTCAGTTACTCCTCCCTTGTTGAGAACATTGCYCCTTAATCCAACAGGGTCATTTCCTTTTGGGTCATAAAGTGCGACCACGTACAGGTCATTGGTTTGCAAATCCCTAGCACAACCCATCCCAAGTTTGGCTGTACCCTTCCACACAACTTGAGTAAAAGAATCTGTTTCTGGTGAAAGACGAGGGTCAGAGAAGCTGTAATTAGCTATTTCAGCATACCAYAAACTAGCCGCTTCTTCTCCTGCTTTGTTGAATGTTGTTCCAGTAATTTTGGCCACGTTCTCGCCGTATCCCAGAGCAGACGCAACTGCAGATCTTTCAATGGTTCCTTTCATTGCCATGTCGTAGGCCATTTTTTCGGCTTGGGTCGCCAGGTCGTCTGACCATTTCAGTTTTTGTGCGTGATGGAGCTCTCTGTATTTATTGTGAGCATTGAGACCTCTTTCAGCAAATGATTCCAAGTCTGAACAAACAGGTAAAAAATTAAAAAGGTAAACTTCTTTCATCAAATTATAACAAATTAGGGCACGGGAAAAGTTATGAATACTAGAGGCGTCCATATATAACTGGGCCAATAAACCACTTTGTGAGAGTGGAAAATCAACTCCTGCTCGTAAATTCTTGTCTCTTGCCCCGTGAAACAAAGTTGTATACTTAGTGAGTAACAGAAGTAAAACAAAAGAAAACAATTGGAATTGGTGTCTACTTATAGGTATTGTGCTTATTATTTTTCCCCCGGAGCTATTAAAATAATTCTATTAGCAATGTGGTCCATTGTTTACGGTAAATACACTTCCTTCCAAAAGAATATTGGTTTAATATTAACAACACTATAGGTAGGACATTACCTTCTTTTAACTTAAGAGCATCTACACTTTCTTGTCTGTCCCTTTGTGTTGCCAGCTCATCAGACTCGAATAGCACGTTATCAAGCGACWTGTCCTCACCGATGTCTTTCCTGGAAGCAACAGATGATGTAATSGGTTCATCGAAATACCCTATAGAGGGTCTCAATTGCAAGGGGTTCGTGGAAGCTCTTACGTCATTAACGTATCTTCTCGCTGCTTCAGAATCACTGTTATCCACAGTTGGTACATTCTGGACAGTSGCTTGATCGCTAGGGATTCCAGCCATCTCTGAATGGCTTTGCATTTGAGAAGACCCTGAATTAGTGCCCAAGAGCTTATTCACCGCCACTAGCAAGTCCTGAATTTTGGCTATGGACGTAGTTGATTCGTGCGAGGTCGTTGACGCTGGTGATGTCATTTTTGTTACTGCAGAACTCTCAGGACTWGCCTCCCTTGGTTTATGTTGATTTTTCAACTCWTTGACACTTTCTTGAATACCTTTGAGTATCTTYCCAAGAGTCGAGGTCAAACCATTCGAGTCAGCCCCWGAGAGCTTTAGGGCMTCTCTGTTACTCTTGATGCCATTTAGATTGTAYGATATTTGAGGSACTGTTCTTGAYTCAGTATCAGTGTGTGTATATTTKGCMARACCTGAGGGTTTCTTAAGCCGACCAGTTCGACTATCATCGTCTGAAGCAATGTCATCGTATGAGCTYTCCASATGTGGTTTATGTTGATGAATCACCTTGACGTCAGATAGCTCRTTATTTTTCTTGCCTAGAGTAGCTATTTGATGTGTGGATACTTTGGGTGGATTGTCGTTCTCTCTTTCGGCTTCATGGAARTTAGTCACTTTGTCTTGCACAACCTCTTCGTTATTCTTTGGCATCTTTAGCAATACCCAGGATTTTCTTGTTCCTATGCGATCGTGTGTGGAAGAAATCTTTCGTCCGTTACTGCCTTCTACATTTGTCACGTTTGTCTCGGAATTATTCTTACGACTTGTCTTAAGCTCAGCTTTACTTCCCTTTTCTTGCCTGCCTGCTTTCTCCCTGCTCATAGCACTGATAAGATTACTGATYGATTTTGCCAAAGTTTTCTCTAGCTCATGCTTTTTTACTCCTTTCAGTATAATCATCTGGTTTTCTTTTTCAATTTCTTTTTCAAGCTCAGCTCGCTGCTCCTTGCTACCATAGCCCTCAAGATAATTCATATTTGGCCGAGCAGCACCAACGAGATGCCTGTACTTAGGCTTCGTCACAAAACGTGCCTTTTTGCCAAATAAAAGTTTCAGAATAGACGCCCCAAGCTCTGTTGGATTCACTAAAGCAGAATGGGCATGCCTACCTTCTTGCAATATCTTGCTACGGTAAGCTGGATTTCGCAATCTGATTTCATTTTGGTGGTCTTTATATTTGTTGTATCCAGGATCTTTGACCCTCACCACCCGAACYCTTTGCCCATTTTGCGTCAAGCCACGAGACACCCCTGTTGTAATACTGTTATTCCTGTACAAATTACTTTCCTGATCACGACTTTGAAGTGCCTTCGCCAAATCAAGGATATTRGCGTCTTTCTTGAAGGAATTTCGCTTATCTAAAACTAATCTGAGGGCGTTCACTAGTTCGTGCGAAAAATGAAATCGTTTACGCTTCACCGAGGCATTTCTTCCTGGACCACTGACCACCATGAACCGCTTATCCATCTTGTATGTAGGGAAAAGTTCCTGAAAAAGCTTGCCATTACTATTCTTTAGTTTGTCCCTTCTTTCAATCTCTTCCGTAATCTTCGTCCTTTTTTTCCTATATTGATTTCTTCGAAATGATTTAACACGATCTTTCTGTACAACTTTATCTATAAAATTCAGAACCTTGCTTTCTTTGCTTGTAGAACCAGAGTTCAATTTTCCTTCTAGACCAATTTTGTGGTCGAATTTGTTGAGATGTAAATGATGGATGTGGTGTTGATGATTGAGATCAAATCTTAAATTTCTTCCTGGCCCGTTTCCGTGTAATGTTCCCAATGTTCCTGAATGTTCACTAAAACCTTTACGAGTATTCCATTCCAAATTCTTTTTCCCGTAACCGTCTATGCTCTTACGAATGTTTCTGTTAAGCGTGTTRTCGTCCCTTGATTTTCCCCGCCAAGATGGTGTGTCTTTTTTATTAAATTGGACATATTTGTGGGAGCAAACAAGGAGGTCCAATCCGGCACTGACAATTATAGTGAAGGCAAGTACGAATCTTCGCGCATACATTTGTTCGTGGAGTCTGTGGAAATATTTTAGTGAGTTTTCATTAGAATGCATATACGGCCATGAAAATATGATTGTATTCATCAGAGTGATAGGAAACTWTGCAGATTATGGCAGATATTAAAAACAAATGTAATTTGGAGGAATTCTTAAAATTGAATTTGTAAATATGTCTTTAATTTTTTTAAAGAAATTACATTTTTTGATAGAAAACTTGTGATTTTTTAATTTGGAAACTCGTATTTCAGAACTTTTCTCACTTTACTTATCCACGTCATGTGACAAAAAATAAGCGAAGGATTTTTCGATATTCCAACATTTTGTTTAATACCTGACGACGGAAGCTAATATTTATGTCAGATGTTTGGCTTCCGTGGTAGAAATGAGGTAAAAATCTAATATCTAGAGTGAGCTATTCCCGAAAACTAGTGCCTACACAGTTTTGATAACAATTACAATGAAATATAATATCCCACAATTAATCTAATTCTATTCAGAATTCTATTTTGTTTCACGTTACCTAAACAAATCTGCATTTTGTCTTGGGACAACCACTGGGTAAACTATGTTTATATTTATGAGAATTTTCCCCGCCTCAGGATCAAAGTGCCAGGAATATTGGTATGTCAAACGAAAAAAATAAATTTGAATACAAGTTGAGAAAAAAACAAAACTGAAAAAAACTTGGATTGTGAGATCCAATTTGAAAAGCATCGTATTTCAGCGGACTTTGATTAGTCTTTAAACTCGTCTAATGCTCCAACAAGGAATTAAACTTAATAGTTTAAATACCACTAAGCAAGAAATATTGAAGATATATTACTTACCAAAGAAAGCCTTCATATCATATCAGACTATTGCTGGTTAAATATATGCTTTTTTTTCCTTTTATCAAGTAAGAATAGTTACATTCTTATTTTGGAAACGAAAAAAAAAATTGGACTGAGGTCAAATTTCAATCAATAATGTAAGACTCACAGGTGAAATAGTAGGTAAATGGTTGATGAACTTTAGAGTTACTGGTGGTGTTTCAGTGTCATTGAGCAGTCTTAAGAGAGGTATAGAACTGGAACTAAACAACACAGGAAGCCCAAACAATAAAATCTTTGGTTGACCTCTTACAAAGGATTTCCCGTTAGCACAATGACCAACACTATAATTGCCATCTTCTAATGTAGTTGTGGTTTAACTGTCCTTTTCTCAAGCAGCTTACGGTGGTAGGGGAACTGGTATCAAGAAACACAAAAACGCCAAGGAAACAGTGTGACTCAAAACTGAGTGATCTTCTCCTATTTCGTTATAACTACGAAGCGAAATCTTCAGATGAGTCACATCACTTTCGGCAAGTGAATAAATTTGAAATCTAATGAGGTCRCTTTAAAAAGATCGCAATAGTACAAAAGATGATAACTTTCAAATGTAATTTTTTTTAGACATGTGAAGATTACAAGATCAAAAGATCAAAATTTTGATAGTATATATATATATATATTTGAAA